GTAGAGTGAGGTTCCGACATTTCGGCACCGACTGATGATGCGAAGTCATGGTTCAGGTCTCCTTGGAAGAGGAGAAGGTGAGTAGCTCCAGATTGGAGATTTGGATAGAGGAGCTAGAGATAGCGGAGTTGATAGACTCGGGAGCAGTCTAGACCGGCGCTGAGAACCGTGTGAGGATATTCCAGTCGTAGGTCATGGACCTAGAGATCGCGATAGTAATGTTCCCGGTCAGGGTACGTTTGGAGTAGACATGATGTCGAGTTTTGGGCGAGTTACACTCGGTTGTGTCGAATCATAGTAGATTGAGGGAGCTGCAAGGTTGGATCCTTAGGCTTCAAGTATGGCTGTAGGCATGGGTTATGTGAGTAGTGGTATTCCAATCTAGGGTATTCCATCATGAGGATGACCGAACCCTATGATTGATTGGACCTAGAGTGTTTGGTATTCCAACCCGAGGGTTGATTGGGCCAAACATGCGTGAGAATGCGAGGGTATACCATCCTTGGGATGACTAGACCCGTTATAGGCGTACCTGGTATTCCAGCCCGAAGCTGATTGAGCTAGGTACGAATGGTTATGTGATATAGCTGGTTGATTCATGGGAGTTGCTAGAAGCTGAAGGATGCAGTATCCAGTCATTGTAAAAAGGGAATAGATTCGGGATGGGAACATGATTCGTTCCCTATTGCAGGTTATCCGGGTTATCACCAATTTTGGGCGGATGAAAGGTGGATTAGTGTTATAGCAGAGCTCAGTGGATTATTGTGGTGTCTAACTTTTGCAAGTCTCAAAGGTGTGTTCATGTCAGGAAGGTGGCAGTATCATCGGGTGATACTGGATTGATGTGTTCTGACATTAAGTAGAAAAGGCCGGTGGTCGGCCAGGAGTATTGGCAAGGATACCACACGAGAAGAATTTATTTTAAAAGGGGTACAGTGGTAGGGTCTGGAAGGACCTGAGTTGATTGGGAAATCGGAGACTGCAGTGCAAGAGGTATATTCATAATCATATACTGCAGTAAGCTTCGAGGACGAAGCCTAATTTAAGTGGGGGAGAGTTGTAACATCCCAAATTCAGGAATATAAGCTCGGGGGTGCTATGTGTAAATAAAGGAGTAGACTCGACGAGTAGGTATCTTAACTCGTCGAGTCGGAGCGGGTTTTGGCCACGTGTTAAGTGACCAACTCGCCGAGTCGGCAGCGGGACTCGACGAGTCGGTGCTGGGAAGAGAAAACCCTGATTTTAGGGTTTGCACCCTATTTAAAGGACCATATGTCCTCCCTTCAGCCTCCTTATTTCCCTTGAGAGTCAGTAAACCATAAAATCGTGTGAGCTTCCATTGTTAAAGAGATTTGAGCTTTGGAGGAGGAATATTGAGAAGGGAGCTTGAAGATCAAGAGGCTGGCATCAAGGGATTGGTGTAGATCCAGAATCTACTTCAGCTTGGACACATTTTTGGAGGTAACAAGCTGTTACCTTGACTCTATTGCATTTATATCTATTCAAGAATGAGATTTAGGGCCATTTTGGCATGTTAAGGATCTAATTCGGGTTAGGGGTCTAGATCTGAGGTTGCTACTTCAGATCTAGACTTGTCTTGGTCCAGAGACTCACAAAGTATCAGCCCTTGGTTTGTTGGTGAAGCATCCTTGTCTTAAACCTTAGCCCTAGATTGATTTGGGCCTATAGCTTTTTTGTTTCCACGCAAAGTTTGCAACTTTACGTGAAAGTCATGCCCTAGAAGAGTGGATCTACAGTTTGGAGCCCCTGCATGGCTCGAAAAGCCTCTGTATGAATAAAGGACTGAAGAGACCCGACGAGTCACTTGGGTGGACTCGGCGAGTCATATGAAGATAGGCATGAACTCGACGAGTTGGAGGAACAACTCGACGAGTCTGTTGAAGATTGTCGTGGACTCGGCGAGTCTGTTCTTGGACTCGGCGAGTTAGAACGCAAAACCCCAACCTCTTCTGGTTAAGACTCAGATCAGTGAGTTGAGTGGTGACTCAGTGAGTTGGACATGATAGGACTCAGAAATTGTTGAACTCGACGAGTCATGGGGTGAATCGGCGAGTCGAGTCGTGATATGGGAGTTTTCTGAGTTTAGGAACTCGGCGAGTCAGTGGGTTGACTCGGCGAGTAGGGTCAATCAGGAAGGTTGACTTTGACCAGTTTGACCTTCAAGGGTATTATGGTAATTTGGATATTCATGTCAATGGATCATTGATGGCTATAGGTGTTGGAGTTTGGGGCAGTGCTTCGGGATTGTGCTTTCGTGGTTCGGTTCGGCAGTTGCTAGGTGAGTTATCCTCACTATACCCAAGGGTCTAAGGCACCAAGGCCGGCCCTTTGATTTGTTAGTTGAGATAGTTACTTTTGTGATATGTTAGTTGGTATCCTGGTAGATATGATGGCTATAAGATGGTATGCTCTGTTAGATCAGTATCCTGGTAGATAGGATGGCTATATGATGGTATGCTCTGTTAGATCGGTATTCTGGTAGATTCGATGTGGCTATGCTTAGTGACCTGTAGTTGGTCTGATTGTCTGTATGCTGGTAGGAGATTACCTGTTATATGTGCACGTGTTGAGCAGTAGTAGAGGGTATTCCATCCCGGTAGGATGATAGGGCCCTAGTATGTTGTCTTGTAGACTGTTATATGGTTATTTGATAGGTGCACATGTTTGCTAGTATGTGGGCATTCCAACCCGATGGTTGTGGGCCAGGAGTATTCCATCCCGGTAGGATGACTGGACTCATAGTAGGTGGGCATTCCAACCTGATGGTTGAGGGCCAGGAGTATTCTATCCCGGTAGGATGATTGGACTCATAGTAGGTGGGCATTCCAACCTGATGGTTGAGGGCCTGGGGTATTCCATCCCGAAGGATGATTGGACCCATAGTAGTTATTGTATGTATAGGTGTGTGGGCATTCCAACCCGATGGTTGTGGGCCGAGAGTATTCCATCCCGAGGATGATTGGACTAGTAGTATGTTGGCATTCCAACCCGGCGGTTGAGGGCCTGGGGTATTCCAACCTGACGGTTGATTGGACCCATAGTATGTTGTTCATTGCTGTATTTGTATGGTTATATGTGTACGAGTATTTTGGGGGGGACTCACTAAGATTTCGAGCTTACGGTTTCAGTTTATTGTTTCAGGTACATCAGGTGATCGTGGCAAGGCAAATGCGTGATCGTACCGCTCCTCATATTTCATGATTTTGTGATTTGGTTCTGGGGATACTCTGATGTTTAAACTATTTTGAAAACAAGTTGTAATAACTTAATGGTTTTTGAACGAGTTAAAATATTTTAAATTGGCTTAAATTTTATGGGTGTTACAAGTATGGTGGACTAGGTTTAGAAGAGGAGGATGACGAATAAAGGGATCTCTCGGTGATTTTGTAGTGTATATTAACAGAATTTCCATATTTAAAGGTTATTAATGATTTTAATTATTTACCATATTTATCATAAATAAGATTACTATTATACCCTTTTATGATTTTTTATTGAATTTATTTTTTCTTAATTCTGATTGGTTGTTAGAAGCACACAATACTTGTTGGAAACATTTGAACCTAACTCTCTCTCTCTCTCTCTCTCTCTATATATATATATATATATATATATATATATATATATATATATTAAATAATATATCAAAACTAATGGTTTTTAATTCCTTATAAAACGAGTATAATATTTGTATAAAATATATTTAAAAAAATGAAAGGTAATGAAAAAATGTGATAATTTCCTGCTTTTTGGTGAGTGAAAAGTAAGTGAGGTAAAAACAGACGTGACACTAAAAATGTGAGAGGTTAAAGATTCCCTCCGTCTAAGTGAAGTTGAATCAATCTTAAGCTGGTACACATCCCGCCAAGCCAATGTTTCCATTTCTTCCACTGATGATGCATTTGTAAGTGCAATATTCAATCGGATATAGATTCAAAATATTTGATGGAAACTCGGATCATTGTGGAGTCTCCAATTCCTGATTCTGTATTTTAGTACGAGAACATTGGAATCAAATTGGACCAGATGTTGTTTGAGCTATTACCAACAGGAACTTCAACGCAAGACCTTCAAACAACTTGTATATGATGGAGAAATTAATGACATATGGATGGAGGGCACGACTTGTATATGATTAAATTCTCTCTCTCTCTCTCCCTCTCTCTCTCTCTCTCTCTCTCTCTCTCTCTCTTTCATAGTGTACCATTGTCGCAAATACGTGGGTTCGATTTTGATTGTCATCTTAAAACTCAGATTCTAAGAACATCTGATTCAATATGTTTAATGCGACAACTTTATGGTAGATGTCCCATAACAACCGTCTCTTTCCATATAGGGCAACACTTCGTTGTAAGCTCATGTTGGTTGTGATAGTGTTTTGAGAATCGGGAGATCAAGATTAATTCAAAAACTTTGATTTCTTAAATATAATAAATTAAACTTAAAATGAGTTAGTGGTATAATTGTCCACGTATTAATTTTGCTGAATAAAAATAACAAGTTAAAAAACCAATTCCTATAGTAAAGTACAAAAATAAAAAAGAAATTATCACAAAATAAAAAAAGAAAATATTACAAAATAACATTTTTCTTCTTCTTTTTCCTCTTAATTTAGTAATATTCCTTTGACATTTAATGGTATTTAAATGATTGATTATTTGATTTCAGTTAGAAAAGAAATGTAGGGGGAGTTAATTTGATTGGAGTAACTAGGAAATGTTGAGATGGACACGTGACAGCCAGTCGGTTTTTTATTTTTTTATTTTTTTTTTCTTTTCAGTTTTGCTGCTTCCTTCATGGTCAACTCCAACCAGAATCAACTTTGTTAAATGTTAATGGCAGCTCCACCATGTTCATGAACCATGAACCCATCCTCCCTATTTATACCCTTTCCACCGCCTTACAATTTCCTCACACTCCTCATCCTCACTCACATCCATCTCTCTCTCTCTCTCTCTCCCACAAAAACAACTTCAACCATGCCTTGTGAGTCACCAATGGCAGTTTCTCACTCACTCATTCAAATCATCTCCAAATCAACTGTATTTCCGGCAACACAATCCACCCTTCCTGACCTCAAGCTCTCTGCTTCCGATCTTCCCATGCTTTCTTGCCACTATATCCAGAAGGGCAACCTCTTCCTCCGCCCTCCAATCGTCATCTCCGATCTTCTCTTCCTTCTTCGAGAAGGTCTCTCCAGAGTTCTTACTCATTTCCCACCTCTCGCTGGCCGTCTAATCACTGACGCCAATGGCTACGTCTATATCACCTGTAACGACGCCGGTGTTCAATTCCTTCACGCCAATGCTACTCATATCTCTGTTACTGATATCGTTTCCCCTCTTCATGTTCCCGATTCCGTCAAAGGCTTTTTCGCCTTTGACAGAATGGTTAGCCACGATGGCCATTTTAATCCTCTTTTGGCTGTTCAGGTCACGGAGCTTCACGACGGTGTTTTTATTGGGTTTTCCGTTAATCACGCGGTTGTCGATGGAACTTCCTTGTGGAATTTTATTAATACTTTTGCAGAGGTTTGTAGAGGAGTGAAATTGATCACAAAACAACCTTGTTTTACCCGTGAATCGGTGTTGATTTCTCCGGCGGTTTTAAAAGTCCCCGCCGATGGATTAAAAGTCACGTTTGATGAGTTTGCACCACTCTGTGAAAGGGTTTTTAGTTTTACCAGAGAATCGATTTTGAAACTAAAAGACAGAACAAACAATCGGAAAAAAATAAATTCTTATGGAGAAATTAACGCTGCTGAAGTAATGGGGAAACAGAGTAATGATCCAATTAAGCTTTCCGACGACAAGGTGACGGCGTTAATCGGTAATTGGATTCGAAACGCCGTCGTCACAAAAGCAGAACCGGTACCGGAGATTTCTTCTTTTCAGTCTTTATGTGCGTTGTTATGGCGGGGAGTGACACGTGCAAGAAAATTCCCAGATTCTAAAACGACGACGTTCAGGATGGCGGTGAACTGCCGTCACCGGCTGGAACCGAAGCTTGAAACTCTTTACTTCGGAAACGCAATTCAGAGCATTCCGACGTACGCTTCCGCCGGTGATGTCCTGTCGCATGATCTCCGGTGGTGCGCCGAGCAACTGAACAAAAACGTGTTATCCCATGACGACACGATGGTCCGTCGTTCTGTATACAATTGGGAGCAGGACCCACGGTGTTTTCCGTTGGGGAACTTCGACGGAGCCATGCTGACGATGGGCAGTTCGCCAAGATTTCCGATGTTTGATAATGATTTCGGGTGGGGGAAACCGGTTGCGGTGAGGAGCGGGAGAGCGAACAAGTTTGATGGTAAGATATCTGCGTTTCCCGGGAGGGAAGGTGGTGGTAGTGTGGATTTGGAGGTGGTGCTTTCGCCGGAAACAATGGCGGAACTCGAATTGGACCCAGAGTTCATGCAGTACGTTTCGGTACAGTGTTGTTGATGTTAATGTTTAATTTGTCTGTTTGTGAAATACTATGTTGTTTGGTGGACTAATTAGTTTATCTGTAAAATGATGTTATCTCAACTGCTTGTAATCTAATTCCTAATTTAAGATAATCTCTTTGTCTTCTTCAATCATTTCTATTATTGTAATCATCTATCTCTCGTTTTAAAATACTACACAAAAGTACAAATTCAATTTTGGATTGTTAAAATAAAATAAAATATTCATTTATTTATTAATAAATATATTATATTAATTAATTAATTTAACTAATATACTTGACTATGATGTAATAGTTATCTAATTCTAAACGTTTTTATCCGATTAGTGGTTAAAACAATTAATCAAGTGAAACAAATATGTTATGGACAGATTATAGTTTTTTAAGTTCACATTTAACATATTTATTTTATAACATTTTCACAAAATTTGTTAAAGTTCAAGATAGCCCAACAAATAATATATTTGGGCTTATATGGATTAAATTTTGTGTATGGGGTCCAATTAGCTTAAAGATCTTCCATGTTTTGAGTCCAATCCTGACGACTGGCATTGAGATTCACAATAAAGTCAATTGCGTTCGGAATGAGCTTCTTTTCTCTCTGTCTATTTTGGTTCATCTCCACTCTCCCACATTGAAATTCAACCTTAAATATAAATTCCTAAAAATTCATTTGTTAGTTTGTCAAGTTCTATCGATAGAACTATGAAATCACGTTCTTGTTCAAGGTGATGAACTGTTTGACATTCTTTTGAGGTAAACCTCTTTTTACCCCAATTTCGAATTTTGTAGATAGCATTTCCGATTTATAATTGCTTGTGGGAGCACGACTACGTCTGGTGGATGTGGGTTTTCTTTGATTATGTCAAAGATCACAAATTTGAATTTGGGTATGTCACCATGAGTGGTAGCTTAATTGCGTACAACGTGTTCGGCGAAATTCCTCAATGAAGTGTTCTTTCTAACGAGTAACGATCTGAGGTTTTGAAAATGAAACGAGGTCGATCTTCCAAGAGCCCAATCGCGTTTATTGTTGTATTCGTTTCAGTTTCTTGCTTTTTGGTGTTGATTCTTTCGGTTCTTAGACTTCCAGACATATCATTCAGCAATGGTGCCAGAACTACAATCACGCTCAAGAAATTGAGCCAAATTCCAGAGAACAGTGAGAGGATAGGAACGTTTGCTACCATGATGATCGAAATGCTGCCTCAAGATCTTCCATTTACGATCTTTGTTCCTTCAAAAGTAGCTTTTGAGCGTGATTTGCGATTAGGGGTAAATGATAGTTTGGTGGGGGAGAAAGCAAATGATACATTTGCAATACTTACCCGTGTATTGAGCTTCACAGTTGTCCCATGGAAAATTCTTTCAGAGTCTGTGCCATACAGTAGAGAGATAACCTGCGATTCTTTATCTGGATTAAAGCTTTATGTATCAAAAGATCCTGATGAAACGCTTATAGTTAACAGGATTCGATCAAAACAGGTAGATTTGAAGAAGAACGAGATAATTATTCATGTCATGGATGGGGTGATTATGGAGGCTGACTTTGAACAATCTGTTCGGCCTGATGATGATGATGATCAAGATTGAGAGACTTTGAATTACTCTTTAGAATGCAGTCTTTTTTGGTTTACATGTAATGTTTATGATGTATAGTCTGATAGTTTATGGTTTTAGGCAAAGATCAACTGTAGAAAGTACCATAAACTGGTTGGCATTGCTGTTCTATTTACACAAAGTTTACAACAAAGTCTACAACAACGGCTTCATTGTAGGATTGATGGTGTGCACGATGAGATGTTCAACTCGTTTTGTGAACTAATGAATTGAGTTTTTTAACCATTCTGCTTGTTAAATAACTATTAAAATAGTCTGAAATTTCAAACCTTCAATTGAAGGTGTTATACCTTATGTTGAAGAATCACCTCACTTATATAAAGCCTGAGAGCGTCAAACACAACATTAGCTTATTAACAAACTATCTCAAATAGCTTATTAAAAGGTATTTTTATGGTCTCACCAAATACTAAATTGCAAAAAGCTCAAAAAATCAAAAAATAAGGTTTGAATTTTATTTGAAATGTTACGAACCGAATGATTCATAGATTTCAACATTTTAATTTGGAAATGATATTATACATTCAATATTACAGTCCAAATATCAGAATTCTTTTTATTGTTTTCTTTGTATTATATCCAAAATCAATGCGTTTTTTGAAACTTTTCCAAACATTAGTGTCTTTTGTGCGACTTTGTCGCAGGCTAACCTAAATTAGTGACAGTGTCCGTAACAACTCCCACCACGTGAGGGAAATAAAAAATTAAGGTTGCATTCCAATAAAAATGTTAGGCCTACTTCAATACATATCGATTGAAGGCAAACGGGCAACAAGCTGCGCCGCTAGCCCTTTCTGGATGACAAAACCAATTCTTTTGAAAACAACATTTGTGGATCTAGGAGATATGACATTAGAATGCATGACCCGCTGGACTCTATTGAGGAGCTCCACCGCCTCTGGTGCGAGAAAACCAAATGTATCGAATGCAAAAGGTACAAACACATGTTGATTTTCTATACATGCATTCTCGTGCTTAACCATTTTGCACGCAGCGGCTTTCAAAGCGGCATGCCCCGCTGTGAAACTCCCGCTCCCCAAACCAACGAGAGGAGAGACCCCAGTAAGATCCACGCACGCATGCTTCCCTCCTATCCATCCAAAGACCAAAATGCCAGCCGGTCTAAGTGTAGACCTTCCATCCTGCGGGTCCGTCAAAAAGTTCACTGGCGCTTCTTTCTTCACAGAAATACCAGCACGCCGACAAGCATCAAAGAGAACATCCCGAACCACATCATGTTTGTACTTGAAACCATGAAGCTCTCTACAATGAACCGCGTGTTCCCCAAAGGTATCCAAACATGCCTTGCGGCAAACTTGACATATCTCGTCAATTGGGAATAGAGGAATCATGAGACGGTAACGAATGATAGTTCGGTACTCCACAGGAGACATATGCTGGCCAAGACCATCAATAGGGATAGTTAGCAGAAAATCCTGAGCATGAGGTGCCCGCAGACACTCAAAGACTGCTTTCTGTCTGACAGTCATGTCGAAGTCGACTTCCATATCTTGGACGATTTTGCTAAAAATGGCACACGCCAAAGTTTTTTGGGATTTAGGGGGGTGATGTCCTTATTAGTGAAACCGCTACAGTCAAATCCCGGAATCGTATCGCGAAGACGAGTCATAACACATAGGTAATCCGAGTCCATACCACATACGCCACTGTCACGTAAGATGTGATCTTGTAATGCCCAAGATTGGGCCCTCGAGGCTACAAATGCGTAGGAGGAAACTTCGTATGCCGAGTACAAACCCAAACCGCCGAAACGAATAGGTAAGGAAGTCAGGCGCCACTGAATATCTCCAAAGAAGGGGCCTCCACATACCACCATATCCTCGATAGACCTGCGCAATCCTTTGTCAAAGAACAAAGCTGCCGCTTCTATGTGTACTGGCTGGCATGTCCTTAAACCAAAGAAAAGTTTTGCAATGCCCATACAGGATCGAAGCAAAAGGAGCTCACTCTGCGGGTCACATAGTTGTGGAAGAAGGCCCATCAAATCAACAACATTGACCGCTCTCTTCATTGTCAGCCCGCTAATAAACCCTGCATCTCTGCTAACAGCCCCCCCCCCCCCCCCCCCCCAAAGAAGGTCTCCCTATATCCGTTGGGAATAAATCGACACGAAGCTTCCTACCATCGCAGGAGGGCCAAAAAATCTCCGTTTTCTTGATGTTCAACTCAAGACCCAAGCCTGGACCATGCAACCGAATAATGTTTAACACTCTAGCCACCTCCTCTGAATCCCCAATGACAGTCCTATCATCTAGATACCAAACATGGAGAAGGAGCTTACAATTGTCTCTAATCTTGTGCACAAGCGGGTGCAAAACGAGGGCAAAAAGAAGAGGGCCTAAGGGGTCACCTTGCTGCACTCCAGTGGTAGACCATATATGTTGGTCTCCGATATAAAGTCTCGCTGCTTGCCTGTATAAGAAATTCACCCACAAAGAAATGGAAGGGCACATCTTCTTAACCTCGTGGAGCAATGCTGATCGATCCACCAAGTTAAAGGCATTCGAGAAATCAACAGTCAACATTACAAGAGACCCATCAGCATGGTTTAAATAAAGCCTACTGCAATCGAACGGATCCCGTTGTCAGGTTTAAATAGAGGCGTGAGAGGAGCGGACGCAACTAACTCTGAGTAGGTTAGCTCTTTTGAATACATATCCTACTGGATGATTCATTTTTCTAAAAAACCCAAACTTATCCTCAAAAGTCAAACCTAAACTATGATTGTCCCTTGCATCGTGACCCTAACCCTACAACAATGCCAACTCCATATAGACCACCGTGCAAATTTCACACATATACCCACAGGGCCCAAGGCCTAATCTCATAAGGGACCCAAAGTTTTATCCGTTTATTACTATTGGAAAGAAATAAAATTGTTTGATAATGGAGAATATAAAGTACATGAAAGAAGTCGTTATATAGTGGCTCTATATTTTTCAAAATATTAAATTTAATGATAAAATCGATAAATGACAAAACATAAATCTATTCATTTGTGAAGAAAAATTAGAAGTAAAGATTATCAGTATCTTTTTTCTTATTCTTTCCACTGCATTCTATTAAGAACCAGGAGAGCACTATTACTATTTTTATTTATATTTTTTATCATTTGCTTCGGCTTATTTTTACTTCTATCCCTGTAAAAGACAGGGAACACAGGGCAAAGAAAGAAAATTGATTTGAAAAAATCAAAAGCCGGAGAAAGGAGGGAAACGTAGTCACCACTATTATCTACTCGATTCGGAATCCTAATCTTCGTCCCTTCTCAGATTCAATCAGGTATTGATTATCTAGGGCTTCACTGTTTACAACCCTGGAAACCACGAAACCATTTGTTGTTAATGTCTTTAATCTTAACGCATGATTCCTTTCCTGAATACAAAGTAAAATGACGTGTCTGTGCTACTAAATTTTGGGCCCCTTGTGTCAATGTGTTTCAGCGTATGGGTTGAGAACTTGAGCCATTGTCATGGGGCAGTTGTACATATTTGTTGTTAATATGTTTAATGAAGATTTCAATCTGTAATCTTGTTTAGTTGTTCTTCCAATCTTGTCAGTGGATGTTTGTAGTTTATAAATATATTTTTATCCCAAACAAAGTTAGTCAATAATTTTAAATATCTAATTTTGCTTGGCTCATTGGTTCTTTTTTTATATATAACGTTGTATTTTTTTATGTTGGTTTCAATTTCAGAATCCAATTCATATGAGTCGAATGGGTGAGCGTGTAAAACGAATAAAAAAATTAGATTAAAATAAGAAACTAAGAATCATCTTTCTTATGATAATTAAATGTAGTGTTGTTTTAGCCTTGAAATTTGAGATCCTAAACATACCATTAATAATGGTAAAAGGGTAATTTTTTGCATTCAGCAACATTATCAAACAACATGTTTTCATTCGGAGACAGATTCATTCAGAGTCTTTGAAAATCATTCAGAGGTTACCAAACAGCCCCAAAGATAGATAGGCGACCTATGGTTGACTTGTAATTGTATTGGTAAAAATGGCTACGGTTGCAATGAGTGGTGGTTCTTTAAAGGCCACCAATACGATCAAAAGAAAGACGCCTTCAGAGTTGAGAGTGAGTATTCACATTTCCATCTATTTAGTTGTTTTTTTTTATTTGACAGCTGTAAAATTCCTTTTTTATTTGCTGAGTGGAGTTTGTATGAGAGAAAACATTCTGAATGGAGTACCATGTGATGTTACCAAACTAAATAGTAAAATATTAAATTAACCCATTCATTAGAAAAGAATAGCTAATTCTTTCAACTTATGTTAACAAAAATGGCAGGATGAACAGTTGAAGCGCAAGAAACTTGTTGAGCTTATGGATGAATCTCCAGCACCAGAGCCTGGTTTCATTTTGTAATTCCCCCACTACCCAAAACCCTCAAATCTTTTTTTTTTATTTTTTTATATAGCTATCTATTAATGTACAAAACTAACATTTTTTTTTTTTTACAGAAATGCTAATGGATTGACATCTGAGACTATGAAAGCTTCAAAGAATCCCAGATACATTGACACCCGTGTGGATGAACTGTTTCCCAGTAGGAAAAACAGTCTAAGGCTTAAAATGCAATCTGTAAAGGAACATGTTAAGGTCTGTATCATAGATAACCTTTTTATAAAATTCCTGTTTGTTCTTACAATATATAATTTCAGGAAAATATCACTACTGATCATACTAATTTCAGCCAATCGGAGTTTTCAGGGTACATTCCATATTTGGCTAATAATTGTACTTCTCGTCTTTATTTATTTTTTTATAATCCACATGTTTGATTTTGTTCTTACAGTCGAAAAGATACAAATGTATCAACTTCAACTACAAGCACCAAAAATTTCAAATCTACACATTCTCACATCACCACTAGAAAATGTAGCAAGATAAGTATGTTTTTTAGTGTTATGGAGCTGTCATCGGTGGGTGCCAAGTCATCGGGTGTTTCACTTGATATGGTATTTTACTTTTTCGCCCTTATGCTCCCACTTTTTATTCCATGATGTACATATATATGTGACAGTCAGTAATACTTTTTTTTTTTTTATAGGATGAAGCCTTCAAAGGGCTTGCAGCTCGTGACCTTCCTATTGTCTCTCCTTCACACACAAAATCCATTGATGGAAATGTAAATTTTTGCTCAGAATTTCATATTTGTGAACACAAAGTTCCACTGGATTTCACATTGAAAACTAGTATGCGTGTAATTGCTTCATCTTCTGTAAATTGGTAAACTCACTTTTCTTTTATTATAAACATTTTATGGTTTGTTGTATTATTAATTGAAAGATTCTTTCTTGTAATCGATTAGGTTTCATAGGTTGATGAGCTGTGGCACGTTCCATGGTCTCGGGCAGTCCAATTCTCAAATTGGATACCAGAAAACAAACTGCCCGACTGCCCAAATTTCCAATATGAAACCTTTATATTCATGGGTGTATCCACAATGCTCTCTACCTCCTTCAGTTATATCAGCTTTGGCTTTACTCTCAAAAGGGGAAGGTATATAATATTCAAAAACTTAATTTCATCCATACCCTTTTATTTTCTTTTTATTTTTTCTTTAAAGCATCAATGTTTTATAAATATGCAAGGTCAAATGGATGTTTTGACCAAACGTCAGTTGGCATGGGAGGCCTCATTTCGAAGCCTTTATGTCATGTTGCGTAACAACATTTGTAATTTATTCTATGGTAGTTTCTCTCTTTTTTTAAAAGGATTTATCTTTTCTATATATTATTTTATAAATTTATTATTCTGATTTTCTTGCAAGTTTACAGTCTGCACTGGACAGTTTGTGGCAATGTTTACTAATCTAAATGGTGCATGCAATGCTTATGTATCCCAATCAACACAAAGCTTGAGGTCACTTCTAAAAGAACAAGTACATCTCATTACTTTCATCAAGGGTGTTTTAGTCTTTTTTTTTCCATCTTCTAACTCCTCTCTTTGTTACTATGTGTTGAAGGAGATCTTTTTCACTATGCCTCTTTTCAATTCTAAAGTGGAGCAAGCGACTACAGAAGAGCTTTTTGAGCTTTCAGAAATTGAAAAGCACAATCTTGGAAAGGTACATGGTATCAAGTATAATCTAGGCAACGTACTTTTATATCTTATAAAATATTAATTTCTAACATTTATGCAGACTAGGCACAAACATTCTCTATTTGATGTGGATAATAGTCCCGAATCATTGCTAATGTTCAGTGACAAGAAAAATGTGCATGGGCTATATGACTTTCTGCTTAACTATAGGTGAGACATTAAATATTTACAAACTTATATTTTTTGGGTTATAATTATTTATATTTGTTTTGTTTATTTTACTTTCAGGTTTATTTTACCATCTTTGAATAGTTTGGATGTTCCTTTACTTTATTCAGCTGTGCCATTTGAAAATGCTGCTGTTTCTGCACCCGAGGTTTGTACATTTTTGTTACATTAAATGTTGTGGAACATGTTTTTTTAAATGTATTTAGGTCGTGATATTTTAGGTTAAATGCAAGGAGGTAAGGAGAATGGATCATATGTCTGATCAAACTATATGTGAAGGATCAGCTTCTGATTCCTATTACAGTATTGAAATAAAGGATGCACATCTTCCTCCATGGATAATTAGCAGTGTATGTGATGCAATTAAGTTGAATGGAGATGATAGTTTTGAAGCAAGGTATGATGAATGATGAGCTTTCTTGTTTCCTGATTTCTCTTTTTAGATTCAGACAGGTAAACTTTATAAAATTGTATTTTCTTTTTTAATTTTATTTGCAGTTTTGTGATTGAGCCAATGTCGATTGGGTTGAATGTTGGTCTTGAAGGTGTGCATGATGAGAGTTGTACATATGGTATTGGGAACACAGTTGTTTCTCATCAATTGAGCCGTCGGTTTTTGAAAGGCTTAAAGTATTCAGACAAATCTTATGTGTTGTCTTTGTTGCCTGTTTGAAGCTATTTTGTCCTGAAAGTGTTGCATTTGAATTTAAATTATGTACTTAATGTATTTTTGGTTATAGATTGTATATCAACTCTTTCTTTGTTGAATTTAGGTTGTGTGCATACTCTCTAAATGGATGTCGATCATCAAACCAAATGCATCCCTAAGACACCACACTTTTAGTTTAAAGCTGAATTGAAAATTGATGAACTTAAACTTCTAACAATAATTTTTTTTAAAAAAATACTACAAACCCCTATAAATCATCTCCTGGAGGGTTCTTTAAGTCAAAATTTTGGACCAATCAATTAACAACAAAGTATGCGAAATGAAAACCATAATCAGTTAATCATTCAACTAAAACGAGAACTTAAAAGCACCCGAGTGCGAGTCCTTTACTGAATCCCAAAATGATGGTTTTGCCAGCTCAGCTTTTCTCTCCTGATCTTTCACCACAACTTCATCAATCATTCCAGGAAACCCCAATTCAATCGCTTTCTTAAACTTATCATATAAATTCACCCGATCTCTAGTTCCAGACACTAGTGTGCTCGCATTTGGCTTCTTCAAAAAATCCAACACATTCAACAAATTCCTCCTACAAACACCACAAAACACACACACAAATCAGATTTTTTTTTCTTCAAAGAAATTCTTTAAGGACCTGCTAACAAAAATAAACAAACCTGCTAACAAAATTCTGTGTAATAGCAATTGAATCTTCAAGATTTATAACCAAATGCCACCATCCATTAGGCACAAAGATCACTTCACCAGCTTTACAAACACATTCCACAGGCTTCTTTTTCCATGTTTTAGTAGACTCATAAAAGTTCATGAACCACTCGGTTATTGACACGGGACACGCCACCTCAGCACCATCTGAGCTCGGGTGGACCCCGGGTGGGACCACATCAGGGGGAAACAAAACCCATTTCTTTGACCCTTTGACCACCGCATTCCAAGCTGAAGTCGAATTAGGATCAATGTGAAAAGACGAACCTGACCCTGCTGGACCGATGATGATCCATCTGTAATCCGGTCTTTCATCACCCAAAACACCAAACAAATCCTCGCTGAAATAGATTGGGATTTCATAATCTTGACCTAATTCAGGAACTTTGTTTGCGAATTTTGGGTCGAAAAGATATAATGGTCTTTCTTCTTGTGCTTGATTTGAATATGTAAAGTAATCTTCCAACTTCATCTGAACAGGGCCAACTGAAAACCGAGTGTCCCCACAAATTTTCACTAAATAATCTTTGTCCCATTTCTTGATTGCAGGCCAATTGTCCAAACACCCTTCTAACAAGACCGGTTTATTTGGTTCTTCAAAATTTGACACGAATTCATCAAGGGAAATCCCTTTTCTTCTAATGATATTGTCTCTGTTTAGCCATTCGTCTTTCATTTCTAGATTGGCACATAACCAGCTTTGAAATAAGTAATCAGAGTAAAAGTCTTTAACTTTAAACCCTAAAGATCCAATCTTTGAAACATCGAAAGATGAGCTATGAGCTGCAACAAAAGTTGATTTCCAAGACCCTTTAAACAGAAACCCATTATTGATTTCACAATTGTCCAATACGAGATTTCTCCAAAGGGGTTCGTGATTACAGAACACGTAAAATGATTTGCTCACAGTTGATAAAATCCCCAAATCGGTACCTCTTAAAAACCCTAGAATATCGAGGACAAGCTCATCGGTTAGGGTTTGGATGTTACCTAAGCCTGTGTTTCTTGAGTTGTGAGGAGATGAGCTGAGGTAAAAGTTTCCCAATGGTTGAACTCCGTAATTCTGTGATGGGGAAGAACCCTTTAAGCTGAAACCGTCTTCTGTAGCGAAATCTTGTTGTCGTTCTTCAGTTAAATGAGGGTTTTGTTTGAGGTTTTTGGGAATACGTTTGTGGGGTTTTCTTCTCTTCCTTTTTCTAATTTGCTTTAACAAGCTTCTGCACCCAACCATTGTAAGGATCAGCGTTTCCGATGGCCGGAATAGTAGCAAAAAGGATGTAGGGTTTAAAAGCGAAATGGTGCGCTTAGAAAGTTTGGGGTTTACAACAATAGAAACCCTAGTTGTGAAGATTATTTTCAATATTTTTGGAAGGTCTAATACTTCTAAACTTTATGTCGGATTTCTGTTTTCTAATTTGTTTTAACTTTATTTTTTATTTTATAAAAATCATAAGTTTTCAACTACATTTTATTTTTTATCTATTAACATGTTACAAACCGGTCAACGTCTACGTGAGGATTTTCGCTGATCTAGCATGTCTATGTGAGATTACTGTTGACGTCGCACGCAGAGTATGAATAGATACTTTGGAAGTTTTTGAACCAAGAAGATTGTGTAACAAAGGCAAACCTTTTAGTCGGTGAACCAAGGCGCGATTATGAAAATCTCTTCGTCAAACATCTATATAGACTAACACTGATTTCTGACATTAAAAAGGTTTGAGCATACTTCATACGGGTTCCAAGGCTTCTCCTTTTGCCACTGAGCCATTATCCATGTTTGATCATTTCCAAGGCTTCTCCCTTTGCCACTGAGCCATTATCCATGTTTGATCATTTATCCCTTCATGTTTTTATCTATATAAAACTTAGAAGTTGTACTATTGCGTATTTAAACGTTAAAATTCATATTTTTATGTATTCTTTGAATAAAAAACGTTTTTTATGTACTAATAAGATAAGTATTTTATGTATTCATTAGCATTTCGTAAAAATCGTTTTTCCCTATATAAAAAACTCTTTATGTAAAAATACATTTCATGTAAATTTTGTTTTATGTAAAAAAAATGTTTCATAATATAAATTAGTTGAGGGAAAGACATAAACCAAATAACTCTTTAGCTCAGTGGCCAATGACGTCCCCTAAAAGTGTGAAGTCTTAGGTTCGACTCCTCCTTCTACCCGTTTATGCATGCACCTTTTTCTTTTTAATAGACGCGTTGACGTGACGATTGAATCAATTTGCCCTGTCAGCAGTTTGGTCCATCTGGGTGTGCCAAGTCAGCGAAAACGCATGTAGAAGTTGACCGGTTTGTGATTTGCTGATAGGTAAAAAATAAAACATTTTTAAAAACTTATGGTTTTAATAGAACAAAAAATAAAGTTATGGAAAATTAGAAATCTTACCTTAAAGTTTGTTACTTTTATAGCATTAATCATTTATGGAAAAGTTTTATGTAAAAGGAACAAAGTTTTCATCTAGTTAAAATATTATTTTAAAAAGTTAGAAAATATGTTTGGATGGGTGGGAGTTGGGATTTGGGGTAAGGTTGTGTGTGGGATGTGAGTGTGGGGTGTATGTATATAGGGTTTATATTTTGGAAAAAAAAATGAAAAATATGAAAAACAACAATTATCACATTTTTCAAGTCATATATAATTTAATAAATTAAAAATAATTATTTTCTTAGAAATTTTTTAGAAAAAAAATATTGAACTAAACATGTTTTTTTAACTTTATATTTTTCTTAGATGATCTCGTTGGTGGTGAAGGGACTGTGACAAGGTTTCGGGTCCAGTGGGATGATCGTGTTTTTAGGGTTTGTGGGGTATTTAAGGACCTTTTGTCACACCCCCGAACCAGACGACGGAAACGTCCGGGGACGGGTGACTTTATTTTGTAATATCATCACAGTGTATATAAATGAATCAAAGACAACATCATCACCATACATAAAACATATCAACCATCATAGTTTTACATCATTGTATTTGTTTATAACAATACATCTAAAACATCAAGTATGGTGAGAAACAAAAATACAGCAAAAGTCTTCATTCCTTATCGACTAACTTGTTTTAACGAGTTCCTGAGAATACAAGTTACTTTGAAAAATGTCAACACATAAAATGTTGGTGAGTTCATAAGCAAGTTTGTATGAAAAGTCTTGTAGTAGTTTGTAAACACCAGAAAATCCGATATTTTCTGTAAAAATAGTTTGTGAGTTTTGTTTCAATCTTGTATTAAAGCATGTGTGTTCTTGTTTGATAATGTATAAATAGAGTTTCCCAGAAAATCCTATATTTTTTGTATAATGAAAAAGTGTGGTCTTAACCCCAAGACTCGAGTGGTGAAAGTTTAAATGTAAATAGTAACTGTAAAGTTCGTACTTTGTATCATGAGTATAATATGTGTATTCCGTAAATTTATTTGTTTGTTATTCTCTATGTGAGTCGCTATAACCATACTTGATATGACTGATATGTCTGTCGTGACGTTCTTCAGGCGTCGGTTACGGTAAGACATTTGTCACCCTATACTGGCATGTCTAGCTGTAGCGAGCAGCTCAGGTGTGGGGTGTCAACCCCGTATAGATCTATACACAAATTTCGCTCTTCCTCCAGGAGACTCTGGTTATAACTACATGACTTACGGTGTACGCTAGGTAGGTACGAACGAAGGAGTGTCTCACAAGAGCCTTAACTTAAATTTACGCGAATGGTGTATCCCATTATTTAACGTTATAAATAATGTTGCAATTGTGAATTTTGACTACAAACTAATGGTGATAAAAATATAATTGTTTTTATCTAAAGGGTCAAAATATTTGTTGTTATCGTGAATAACTTCTAGTTATTCCAAAGTATCGTGAATAATTCGAGTGTATTAGAATTCTCACTAACGGCCCGATTATTATAGTATTTGTCATAAAAGGCCCAATTTGAATGTCATTATCACACATGGCCCAATAGGAATGTCAATGGGCTTATAAGGCCCAATTAGAGTAAAAATTACCATGTATAGCCCAATAAGTATGTAAACGGGCTTATAAGGCTCCATTTAGCGTAAACATGTCGTAACGAATCCGCTTGTTATCAAATAATCATTTTAGCCCAAATAGTACCAAAAATGTCGTAAAATGGCCACCTTTATGAAAAATGACCATATTGGCCCAACAAAATCGTAATTGACAATAAAGGCCCACTTTTGCCAAAATTTAACATTTTTGGCCCCATAAAACCGTGAGTTGTCAAATAAGGCCCATCTTTATGAAAAATGACGTTTTTGGCCTGTAAAACCGTGAGTTGTCAAATAAGGCCCATCTTTATGAAGAATGACATTTTTGGCCCATTTTGTTTGCCTTTATTGTCAAGTGTGGTCCTTTTGTATACTTCCCTATTTTTATAGTAACTTCCAACAAGTTTAATATTTCCAAACATCATAAAAAGTTACTTTAAGTAGATTTCTTACTAATATCACTAAATCTTGGATGATATTTCGAGGTTGTATGTGTTTAACATATTTTCATGGCATATTCACACAACATAACATGAAAAATGTACACATACATGCATAATACTAAGATCAACCACAAAACTAGCTTGTATTCTCCCCCAAAAGATAGTAAGACTCAAAAGCAAGGGGGTATGAAGCTCACCTTGAGTTTTCTTGGTTGTGAAGAGGAAGAATGGAGTGGGTTTCGGCCTTAGCTAGCTTCTTGAGGAAAGCTTTCGAAATCAAGAGAGTTCTAGTGAGTAAACACGGAATGGTGTGATTTAAGGGAAAATTTCTTAGCATAAGATTGAATAAAAACAACTTGAGTGTATAGCAACTTACCAAGTTATGTTCTTTGATGAAGAGTTCTTGGAAACACACATACAAACTCATAAAATTTTGAGAAGGGAAGAGAGAGTTTTTGGTGTTTCTAGAGAGATAGGGAGTTGAGAGAATTTGTTATTGGAAAATGAATGAAGTGAGGGGGGGTGGTGAGGCTTTTCGGCCGAAAATAAGGAGAGTGAGAGAGAGAGACTAGCCTAGATGTATGTTGGATAATAATACCCTCCTAGATGTATGATAGGTAAATGCATGGATATACAATATGCAAAAATGAGGTGTCAACCTTAAGTCAACCCCTCATTTGTTTCTTTTTATTATTATTATTATTATTATTAATCGAGAATAGGAGAGGGGAAAAGGAAAATTAGTTTAGGCTTGGGTTTGGGATGTGTAGCCGAGAACCATAAGCCCAATGGGTTTTTGGCCCATGAGGGCTCACATGCGGGTTTACGGCCTAAAAGGGTAAAGGAAAGGATTTTCGACCCAAATAGGGCCCATTAAGGGTTTTCGGCATTGGAAGGCCCAATAAGAGCTCCAATAGTGATTTGCGGCCCATAAGAGTCTAAGAAGATGTTCACGGCCCAATAAGGCCCACTAAGTGACTTATGGCCCAAATTAGTGTTAAATGATCAATTTCGGCCCATTAGGACCCAAATATAGGTTCTTGGCCCAAAAGGACCAAGTTGAGAGGTTTCCGGTCCATTAGACCCAATAAGGGTGTCCTAGCCCATTAAGAGGTCTAAACCGGGAAATCAGGGTTAAATCTCAAAGTCGAGTGAATATAGCTTAATGGGTTAAGTTTAGAGTTTACACGAGAAGATTTCGACTGGAAACAAGTTTCTGGATGTATAACTGATATAGTATTGAAGTTTGGTTTACACTTAATCATAGTGTTACATAGTTACAAAAGGAACTATCTCGTTCATGAATAGAAAATCCTATCCTTAAGTTCCAGTTGTGACACCTTTAACCTCTAGGGTTCGTCATTCTGCGCCTCTCCAGCCTCCAGAACGTTCTTTGAGAGAACTTTAGCATCCTATGAGTGTTGTGAACTCATTCTTCCTCCTTGAACCACTTTTGGTGTTTATTTTGAGTGTTTTGGTGTTGAAATCAAGAAAGGTTGTGCTTCGAAGTTTGAAGCTTGTGGATCTCTACCATCTTTACTTATATGAACCCTTGTCTCATAAAGTTTCATGTTTTATTTTTACCTTTGGGTCTATGAGTATTTAATGTTTTAGTCTATTATGTGATGTTTTGGTCCCATGAATGGTTTGATCCTTGGATTTTGGACAATTCCAGGAGCTTAGAATCATATTTGACTTTAGACATGATCTTTTGGTGGGTTTAGAGTGCATGAATGTGCTCTCTCTACTCCATACTTGAAGAAAAGAGCATTCTTAAATCTAGTGTTTTATATCTAGTTAGTTTGGAGTGTTTGAATGGATAAAGTTGGAAACTTTATCCAATAAGACATCATTTGGGTCTAGATCTGAAAGTTGGAAGCTTGGACTT